GTCATACTAACAAATTTGTTGCTAAAAAACTGATTTCAAATACGAGGACCTAAATCACATCACCCAAGTTTTGGATATTAATCAGTTTTACATGTATTACAATTTTGAGTCTGGGTATAGTAATATTGATATTTACCATATTGGGTGCCAGTTGAAGGTTTGGCTTCAGTAGCAGGGCAGGTGATTTCTATAAGCCCTGTTCTTAGGCCAGTTACCAGGCTTATGACAAGGAATTGTTATTGCTCGATTGAATCGCGACTCTCTTGGTATCAGTCTCTTATCCTTACTTCAGGCGATCTCCGTGAAATGGAGTTTTTGAAAAGGAATATCCACATATTGAATGGTTTCTCTTTCAAGTTTTGCCTTGTTGCAACCATGCAGTTGTACACAGATGCCAGTGATTCTGGTCACAGTGGCTTTGTGCCAGGCAAACCAGAATTACATTTTCACGGCGCATGGACCCCACTTGAAAGAATCAAAGCTACATGTACATCAAGCGTGAACTCAATGCCATTCTGAGCATTCTCTCTCAAGCTGGCAGCGTACTTGCTCCTGAAAAGATCAAGTCTTTCACAGACAATTCTAGCGTTCCTACTACTATTATCAAATGTGGTAGCAGCAAACCCGATTTGCATAGTAGTACGGTAGACATTTTTAATGTCTGTAGTAAGCACGATATTGTGTTAGTCCCCCAATGGCTTCCTCGACTTAAAAATCAGATAGCTGATTAAATCAGCAAGACAATCATCTGTAATGACTGGTGCATTGATGACTGTTCTTTTGCTTTTATTGAAGGCCTGTGGGGCCCTCATACAGTAGATTGCTTTGCATCCCCTCTTAACCGAAATCTCTCTAATTTTAATACCATGTTTTGGTGCCAGGGTTCTTCACTTTGAGCATTCAATACCTCACTTTACACCCACCCTTTTAATCTTTACAAGCACGGAGCAGGGGAGTGCGCCCTAGGCATCCTAGGACACACCCACATTTCCTCTACAAGTTAGGGGTTTTCATGGCCTCCAAGTTCCTTTAACCCAAGTTATGTTCAACATGCATCAGTATTTTAGAAGGCAGATTACTAATGTATCTGACATGATTTCTTTTTGAGCAATGGGGCTATTTGGTGCCAACTGTCATTTTGTCTCACCCGGGCATAAGACATCCCGAGTAACTTCCTCAGATGGTTTTTGCTTTGCACTTTTTGCAACAAGGCTACTAGATGCCACGTGACATTTTGTCATCTCTGACCACATTTTGGCCCATTTGTTGTTGTTGAAAAGTTCATCCTTTATTCAACTTTATGACCATGTTCGATACAAATGGTTTTCTGTTGGCCGTTTCCTCTTTTCCCTTTTCCAAGGGTATGGGATTCCTGTAGGTCGGTTTTGATCGACCCATATTGGCAAGAGTTAACAGAGGCACAACTCCTGGTTCTTCTAATGTCAGCTAAAGGTCCATCCAAGTATTCACTCGCCTGGAGTAGATGGGAGAAATGGGCGAAAACCAGGTCTGGAGTGCGAGTTTTCCCAGCAGAGCCATACCATTTGAGCCTCTATTTGGTGTACCTTGGTCAGTCATTAGGAGCAAAGACAGCTGCCAACACCTTTGCAGCACCCACAAAATGGACGCATTCGCTAGCTGGTCTGTCCTCGCCTAGCAATGATCAATTGTTCAAGACAGTACTACAGGGATACATTCAGCTATATACCTCCCCAACACAAAGGAAGGAGCCCATCACAGCAGCAGATTGGGAAAAATCATTAGCCTCCCATGGTAAGCCTTCTGCTGATATGGCAGATGTAAGAATTCTGTTTATTTCTTTTCTAAGTCATGCCTAATTTCTCAGATTCAGTTATATTGTCACTGTTAGATCTACAGATTGCACGTTTTACCAAGATCGCATGACAATTTATTTATCCAAGTCTAAAACAGATCGATTTCGTCAAGGTAGTTTTGGTATAATAGCAAGAACGCACGATCTACATGCCCAGGTTCCATTGCTGAAAGGTACTTGAGGGCTCTTGGAGATTCACTAGATTCCTATTGCGAGCTTCCGATCACTCGTTGGTTAACCACTTCTAAAAAAGTTTAATTTATTTTTTACCCCTTAAGCTACCGTACACTAGAACCTGTGAGATTGTACTTGAAGCCACTTCATGCCGGGGCATTTCTTCTCAATGTTGATGATGCTGGGCCGGCATAATTACACGTACCATTTTTTCCGTTTTCAAAATTCTTCAAAAATTCATCATTTCATTTAACAGACGTTTATAGCCACACTAAGTAATCTTTAGGCACTACTCTAAGTTGACAGGTGACCTTCATTGATGCCCGAGTATTTCAGCCAGGCCTGCAGCCTTGTAAAAAGAGCCCAGATTGTGCGGTGTTATGTAACTTTCTTTTGTTCACGAACCTGGCTCAGTGCACTGCTGACCTCTTTTCAATAGGGGCCAGATTAATGTGCAGCAGTACTGTGTGGCTCATCGCTGCGGTGGTGGAGCGCTTTTGTCCCCGGTGGTAATCCGCTCTGGTTTCAAAACAAGGCTGGATTATCACCACTTTTGAGAGTGAAAAATGTTGCTAATGCCCAGCAGCCTGGTCTTTTGTTCGAGTACGGTCTTTTGTTACAGGGCCCTGTTTCCATTTTCCGAGTTCGGAGACCCCGGCCATGCATATAAAGCATAAGTCTCTGATTCCGGAGTCCAGTGCAGGAAGGGGTTAAAACCCATTGTGTCAACATTAGCAAGTATGGTCTCCACAGCCTCAGAGCAGGTGGTGCATCTGCAGCAAGCAATGTCTCTGTACCAACGTGGCTAGTTGCACGCCATGGTAGATGGAAAACAGAAAAGGCCAGGAGTGTCTACCGGTATATCAAGCCAAATATCAAAGCCAAGCTTCCCCCATCGAAATCGCTGGGAATTTAAAAAGTTGTTGCTAAAGCATTGATTTCAAACCCACTGATAGATTTTTGGTTTCGCTTAGTAAGCATTTCTCAGTGATCAAAGTGACGGAGGAAATATTAATTTCGCTAATTATTATGGTAGTGTGGGCAGTTCCAGAATTCTCAGAGCCACTTCCGGCTCCAGCTAAGGACTGTGATTCCGAGTTGGAACTGGCTCCCAAAGATATAAAGAAAAACATAAGGTTTAATAAAACACATTAATAAAAATCTGTCGCTGGTGCATCACACCGGTGCCACTAACGATTGGCACAACAGACTGACTTTTTGGTTTTTAGTGGGCTTTAAGATTATCCACGGTGGGGATTTTGAAATTTATTTTTGCCTCTTCGTAGACTAGATATGGTTGGAAGAAATCTGCAACCTGTATGTACAACCATGATACAACTCGGCACTTCGTCCTCCTGTCCCATTTTCCACTCCATGTATAAGTATAAAAACACTCCAATCAGAACAACCACTGATTCACCGTTGCAAGTCCATGTAACTTTACAAAAGGAATCGTCGACCATGCCATGGAACTTCATGCATGGACTGGATCACATGTACTTATTGAACATGTGCTAACGTATCGTAAATGACCATGGACCAGGCCTAAACGGGTCATTCGTCCACAGTGGCCACATCTTAAACTCTGATACCGTGAGTCTGCTATCTTGTAAGCTATGCCATTGCCCGGGTCCATGCATGGAACCGGCTCTGAAATGAGAAGTTGAGAAACAAGACCCTCGCTGAACAGTAAAAGTTGTGGACTCTGGTGCATAAGTTCGGGCAACGGCTAGGCTATTTCTTAACCACTCGATCATTTTGCCTGGTGTCGTGTATGCAGAAAGTACAAGAAGTCACATACAAGTACTTGGTAAAATTCACCAATACTGAAGTCACAACCACATGTCAAACAGTCTTCGAGCTTCATGGCCATCAAAGCCGTCCGGCCGTCAAAGCTCTGCCAAACCAAAGTACGTGTACATGTACAATACCCGTAGCCACAAAAGACTCACATGTGCACATATGACTATCTGTCATTACATGCAAATGAAAGTTGGTGCTTGCACTGCCCACATTCCGAAGAACTACCGGTAGCATCACCAAGCTGGGTTTAAACATTTTGTGAAGAGGTTGTTTGGAGAAGTACTGGTAAATTTTCAACACATTTCTTATACAGACATAATGTTGTAAGATCCAATTGATCAGTTATTGCTTAAACCAGGCCCAATCTTGGGAGAGGTTTCATTTATAAACTGCTTTATCTTATGGTGTAGTAAAACTACACTGTTTCACTACACAGCCTCCCTCAGTGATGCATGAAGCATTCCATTATCCCTTGGCTTCAACTCCGGGAAATAGAATTCTCCATGGGTCACCTCAGGAGGCTAATTTTACCACACCACTGCAGTCAAAATTATTATGTATCCCTCTCACCAATAAAATTGAAGACAAAATGGTTTGATTTGAAATTTTAACACTCATATCCACTTTGGTATCAAATTCTAAATGAATATGTATACCTCTCAATCATAAAACATGTGAATAGTGGTAGCAATGAAAATTATTGAGCAAAAAGGTGCCTGTAACAAGTAACCTGTATGACCATTTCAATTTTCAGGCATAATGCCCAAGTGGCTCATTCTATAAATTTGGGATCCAAAGTGTGACATTTTTCTGTCCCTATAACCTCTGACATGTACACCATCTGATAAGTTTAGCAAGGGATGTATTACTGAAGTTATTTTCAAACTATTTTTGTTTGATACGTAATATGTTGTACTTATTAAGTCTTGGAAATTAAACAATGAGTTCTAAACATTAAAAATCAAGTATCAGACGTACCGGTAAAAGGGACAAGTAAAAAATGGACCTCAAATTTATAGAATAACCCAATGAACATTTCAAAATGGTGATATAAGAGTATAATGCCATACTGCGTTCCTTTACAAGTACTACCGGTACATACAGGAAGTTTATGGTCTAGGCTGTTTTTAACTTTATTATGATCGTCATTGTACAATTAGCTTGCATACATAAGCATGTACATAATTACCTCATTCCAAGTTGGATTTAGCTCATCATTGATGTGCTTTGTCTCTTTCTTGGACCCTTCAAGAAAAACAGAAGTAATTGCATGAGAAAAAATTTGTCTAAATCATCAAACTTTCATTTTTCATTACCCTACACTATAACTTTGGGAGAACTCAGGTAACGTTGAGGACTTTTTGTGAATTTTACTTGGTGTTTAATTATATATCTATTAAGTCTTTTTCCCTTAAGCCAACAAAAAAGTAATGATAACTGACCCAAACCAACAACCTCATGCGTTGCAAAATTGTACCTATGGAAATGAAGTTGCATTATTGGATTAGTTGCTGTCCATATTATATACATTCGGAGGACTGGGATGGGAACCAGTCTTCTGTTCAACAGACATACGCCACAGTATGCAGTTCAAATGTGAGGATTATTTGTAGAAGAGAGGCAAGATCGTAAGTAAAAGGTCTGAATTTGACCAAAATTAGCTCACAAACGGTCAAACCATCATGACTGCATGGTTAAGAGATATCATTTAGTGTGGGCGGCTTTGAGAGAGCATTGGATTGAGGAAGTGCAGTTTTAGGCAGAATAAATGGGCACATTCAGAATCCCATATTCCTATAGCATTTCAAAGCAGTGAAAATTTGGAACTGTGAGGGACACAGCATTAGAGACGGTGATCCGAACTGCTGTTTTATCATCGTGCGGGATGGGAATTGGTCGAGCGAACGGTCTGCGCACCGCGCCACACCACGCCAAGCTAAGTCTGGCAACGAGTTCATACTTGATCCCAAGCATGGTATACATTTCGATTCATCATTCATCAACGTTCATTGGCAATGGCTAGCCCCACTAGTGTGGCACGGATCACTCCAGATTTATCCTTAGCCACACATCCGTATGCGCAATTTCGTGTTGGCGTACTGAACATTTTTGGCGCACCCACTTATAATCGTGGGCGCAATTTCTTTTGTATAAGAACATGATTCTTGACCTTTCTGTTTTCTAAATACCATTTATTGAATGATTTCACTCATGTTATTCAGGTATTTTCCAGTCTTTTTTCCTTTATCCATTCAATCTAACGGGCTCACTCTCACAGTAGCCATCTTTAAAATAAGGTCGTTGAGCATTACGTCACTTGACCCCTCGTCATCTCAGCGGCTGTTCCATGTCAAGACATGTAATAAACGGACTGAGCGATAAGATACTACATGTACCAATGGACTCTTCCAAAACTTTGGCAGCAGTTTAGATGTCTTGACATAGAACAGCCGTTCAGGTCAAGTGACGTAATGCTCAACGACCTTATTTTAAAGATGGCGACTGTGAGAGTGAGCCCATTAGATTGAATGGATAAAGGAAAAAAGACTGGAAAATACCTGAATAACATGAGTGAAATCATTCAATAAATGGTATTTAGAAAACGGAAAGGTCAAGAATCATGTTGGTATGCAAAAGAAATTGCGCCCACGATTATAAGTGGGTGCGCCAAAAATGTTCAGTACGCCGACACGAAATTGCGCATACCGATGTGTGGCTAAGGATGGATAGAGAGTGAGAGTCCGTGCCACACTAGTGGGGCTAGGCAATGGCATGCTCTGCCAGAACAGACTGACAGATTCCGACTGTGTTTAGCATCAGTCAGCGATCGGGAGTTAATGGCTTAAGTAAACGAATGGCCCAAATCGAAACCAAAATTTCACGGACTTCCACATTTTGGAAATCGCCCAAAGTAATACATCAAGGTATTGATTGGGTGAGTGATCTATACACGCAAAAGGGGTTTCAAAGAACGCATTTTCGCTGAGTCCCCACTTTTTGAATGGACCGCTGTGGCGCCTAGTCTGGGGCTAGGCCTATTAGTATTGGGAGTGGAACTGATGCTAAATCAGTAACAGTCGAACGTCGTTAATCTGAGCATGGAGGTAGAATGTGATTCTACCTCCATGATCTGAGGTCCTAGGCTTTGCACTTGGCAAATTACCTTGTGATAACAGAAACCGTGTATAATATCACGAATGAAAATAATGAAAAACAAAGGACTGGAACCTAACATTTGCATTGTCATTTAAGCAGAATCTTGCAAATTGCATTAACATTTACTAACACTGTAACAGTGCTCTTATTTAATGAGCTTCGACTGCAGTTGGTGAGTCACACTACAGGCTACTGCCCTGACTGTTAATTAGGCCTAACGTCTGAACGTTTGGCCCAAACCAAACAACTAACCTTGAAATTTAACGATGGCAAGCGGGTCGATTTTGCCGAATTTTTCAATATTTGGTAAGTTTGTTGCATTCGACACGACCACTGTCAACGACATGTTGAGGCGGCAGAGGCGCACAGGCCATGTGCCGTAAAGTCTTGAAGACGTCGACAGCAGTAGTACCTCGAAGAAGTGCCGCCAGCGCTAGTGGTAAGTCTGGAATTGTTAACCACCAGCGCCGCGCCGCACCCTAAATTATAAAATGCACCGATCCACGCCGCCCCCGCCTAGCGTATAGCCTGGCCTGCATGCACCGCGTACGCAGCATAGCACAGAAGTTGCAGTTGGAAAAAGACACACTTATGATAATTTATACTTACATCACTATTAGGCTCTTTGCGTCGTCAGCGTAAAATAATGAATAATGCAGCACTATAAAACGCGGCATCCGCTTGATCAGTTGAGGCGCTGTTGAACTGAGACGTTCATGTCATGTGGCAACCAAGTAAATGGAGTAAGAAGTATTTTTTTCTTTTTCGAATTACGCCACGATCTCTGGATTTGGACAATTTTCAAATGAAGTGTAAAAAGAGCCTTCGAGAAATTGGAAGAAGCACGACACCAACTCAGTGCCTTCTTTTCGGAATCATTCTATGCTACTTGAGTTTATTATAAAGTCTACGGGGTTGGCCGTTCTACTCAGCCTTCCAAGGATAGGAACAATGTACTAGGCAAATGTAAATGGACCGTTTCTTTTGGACATATAATAACATGTTTGTTTCCCTTTCCAACGGTGAAAGCGGGACGTTGGCACAAAAGTCCACACTTGTGTAATTTGACCGACATAATTAGATTAGATTATTAGAAATTGATTGTCCGCATCATAAAATGCAAAAAAAAAAATGTTTCTATTGGCATGATTAAGAATATGAAAATACATATGGACTAAACAAATGATTATCCACTAGAAACGTACACAAATTAAAAGACAAAAATACGCTTGTTATTCAAGACAGATAAAACTGAGAGGTCTTAAGTGTATAATAATCCTTTTAAGCTGCAGCTGGCATATCTCTGAATACTTCTAACATTTACCAACATTAGCGTTGTGCGGTAAAGTCGTGTAAAACTAACAAGTGGACGGTGTTAAATTTTTCCGGAAGACGGTCTAGCCCGGCCCGTGTTTAAGCATAGGGATGTGTTCCTAGCTCTATGGTTTAATTTATGTTAAATGATTTAATTATGCTTTATGATTTTCTGGAAAAGTACACGGGGGAACACACTTTGAAGATGATAGCCTTATGATGTCTAAAAATCTTAAACTTAATTAATTAATTAGTGTCTACGGCTGCTTAAAAAAAAATTGAAGCAGCCGTTGACGTTTTTTATTTTGCCTTTTCACCGCTGCGGACAAATTGAGTTTTTAAATTGTTATTGATTTTTCAGGTACTTTTAATATTAAATAACTTGCTACAAAGATCTTTACATATACCGATGTATTGTGGCTTTGTTTAATAAATCAAAAGTACCCCTTTGTTAATAACTCAGTGGCCAAAACACGCACAGTCAGATGACTTTGGGGATTAAGATAACAGCTCTGGAGCTCTGTGTGCAGGGTTGTTAGACCTGTCCATTATTGCTCATAGGTGTGCTGTTACAGTGTGAGGGGTTACATATTTTACAGTCTGCAGCTGATTGGTGATTGTTGAACACGTGTTGGAGGGGGCTTGCAGAAAATTAAAACATGTACTCAGAGATATTTAAACAACACGCGCACACCATTGTTCATTCTGTACTAAAACATACTTTTAATAAAATATCAAAAGGAGATAACAAGCACTATTCAAAGAAGTAAACAATATACTTGTTGAAATACACCGTGTAATACCATGGTAATAGTGACTACTGATAGACCCATACAAAAATCACACACGAGTTCAGAGTATACATTTGTCACGAACTACTATGGTTCTTACAAAAAAATTTGCAAGTTTTCCTCAAACATCATCATTAAACATGTTTTTATGTGGTACATTAATAAACAATAAACCAATGGCGTTCTACACAGGCACCTGTGTATGTGCGTGATCGGGCTGTACGTTACTGCGTAACGCAGCGCGCGGGACAGTCGGTCAGGGTTTCTGTGCTGGGTCATGTGATACATGTACAAAGCGCTTGAGGGCGCATCATTCGTGCCTGATTTAGGCTGCATCCGAATCTCTTGTCTTGAGCTTGGTCTTGGTATTCACTCCATTGGAAATGCATGGAGACGCGCAGACAATAGACGTAGCCGTAGCTCTGGAAGCCCGTTTCGTACACGGTCTTATTTTACGGTTGCGGTTGATGCCCTGCACCCAGTGCTTGTCGACGTGACAATAGCAGCCCGCGTGAACACGCTGGGCTCATCAAAGAGAAGTCGTTCGCGTGACAGTGAAGGCAAGCGTTCTTTCATCACTTTTTATTCATCATTCTTCAGTTTTTTTTAATTGGCCCGCCAAAACTTCGGGATAAGCGGCTTAAGTGGTATTGACGCTTCGAGTTACGGATAGGTTATTGTTCATAAAGGCCTATTCTTTTCTTGGGAATACAGAAAGACGTCGAGGTAAACGGAGTTTTGACTTAACGGGCTTCGACTTATCGAGATTTTACTGTCATTAAAATCAAACTCATACTAACTAAAGGTAATTTTCTGTAGTGTCCACCAAAGATATCTCAGGGAAATTTTTGATTTGTCAGCACAACTATTTCTACAAACAAACAGACAAACCAAGATACAAATGCAACAGGCAATAATGAAGGCATAATATAGTAAGATGCTACATGGGTAGATGGCAAAATTTCCGGTAATCGGTGTACCAAAATCAGAAGTTTTCCAAATAACTGAGATTTAAACAAAATCGAATTAGTATACCATGAACAATTTGCAAAGTACAAACTGTTGTGTCAATCAGTACGAAACCAATAATCCCGATCTGCAAGTGATGCATGTATCAGGATGGTTCAGTTCAACCAGTGCATGAGTTGAATGCTGTGTTTTTCCGATTATGTTTTTAATGTGTTCTGTTCATTGTTTTTATTCTGAGTATATCTCAATCCAACCTGAAGGTAATGGAATCGTCCAAAAGTTTTAATCAATCATTTGTTCGTCATTCCCGCGTAGACGTAACTCTGCCATTCAGAGAAGGCGTTCGCGAAGTGGGAAAACGCCTTCCCGTCTTATGCAACGGTATTTTGTTCAGGCCGTGGTAATTGTCAGAACGCCCATCGTATTATTGTAAATCAAATCACGCCAGTCGATGAACAATAGGTCGCATTATACAGTCGATGACAATTAGAATCGTTGGGTGCATGTTGAAGTTGTCTTATGTGTGAGAGAGATAGAGAGTCAGAAGTCATTTTTGACTTGCTCGAGAAAAACAGAGGTTTAGAGAGTGACTGTGTGATGCAAGACCGGTTTTGACTCCTTAGGTATCTGAGCCAGCAGATTTAGCTTTGTTGTGGATCTGTTTGACCACTTTGGAAAAGGACGGAAAAATCTGTTTCCGTGAGAATTAGGCAAACTATGGCCTAATTCCAGCCACATAGACGTCCCGGTCGGCATTAACGATTTCACAGCAACAGTTCACCTCCCAAGACCATTTGAAGCAAGATATGGGACGGAGAGAATCCCCCTCCCCCGCCTTTGTGTTGGTCATTGTTTGATCGAAATCTTGGGAATTCTTTTCAGACTCCTAGGGGGGAGGTGTTAGGTAACAGTAGTCTAGAGTGTGTATAGGGATTGGACAGGTAAAGGGGGTACCCCTCCGTCCCATATCCTGCCTGGTATACCCAAGACAGTTGTTCAGCAAATTACCGTAAGTATTGTAATATTGACTATTTTCTTGCTTTATTATTGCTTTAGACATCTGCAATCCGTGAATTTTTTCCTATGTTGTCCCTATGTCTCAATGTTTGAATGAGCAGCAGAACTAACTGGTTGGAAATTCTCAAGAAAGATGTAAGGGGTCGGGAACAATTGCATGAATGGGTAGGAATGAAAGAATTGGTGGGGCAACACAACCCATGTTTTTGCTTTGGACTTTTGACTAAGATTTGGTGATCTCATCTACAGTGCGGGCATCAAATTCTGCATTTATCATGGACCATTTCTTTGTATGGATATATCATTCATGACTTGGGCACTCGCTCCAAAGAGAACTATATTTACTATTACATGCACCCAATCCTGTCGTTTTATTGAGAAACTTCATGTCAGCACCTAAATGGAAGTTTAAAGGAACATCTGTATCACCAATTGAAACAACGTCTGACAACTCATCGACATGTGACCAGCCAGACTGTACACTGCCTGGCACTTACATTTTTATGCTTGGTGCACATTCCACATCGTATGCAACCTGGTACAGCTGATTTGCTGCGTGACAATGTGCTTTGTAAATAGCGCCACCAATACGTGAAATTGTTTTATGTATTTAGACTGCGCGTCTTTACTGATGTCTTGTTAATATTATCCGGTATGGAATCTCGTCCCCCTTTCCCCCTTTTCTTGGATGGGTTTTTCTCACGTGACTCACGCTGTTCTCAGATGGAAATAAGGGTGTGAATGACTGGTGATTTCGCATGTGCAGTGATTTCGCGCGACAAAGGCGTCTCAGTACCATGGGTACCGGATAATATTCTTTCTTCGAAGCTGGATATCTTGCATAAATTTGTAACTGGTATTTTCACACCATAGCCGCGTTTTCCAAACAATAGCTGCCATGCATTCGGGGGACTCTTGGTTAGTTTCCTTGTTGCGATGCGTGCATTCTTGGGTGTCACTTGCCTTCGTCATGTAGATCGAGCAACATCTAAATGTGCTCTTCCTTTGGAGTTCACGTCCAACATGTCCAACTTACGATAGTGTTAGGCCTTTTTAATCCGTTATACATTCACCTTGGCCTACCGTATTTCCAACTGCATTTGATGGAGTGTCGTCTTGAGGCATGTGAGATAAGGGACTGCTTTGGTTGGTGAGTACAACAAACTTGCGATCTTTTAATATTTTCAGTTAAATAGATACCATGTTAGATGTATCATGCAGACATAGCACTGAGTTAGCATTTGGGCAATTCCGTACGAGAAATGTAGACATTTGCAGTATTTGAAATTTGCTCAATCTTCTTGAAATACTACTTTTAGGTGAGGGGATATTCTGCAAGGCAACATCCACACCAGGTCATAGATATCAATCTTTTTCTTAAATACTTGTCAGACTTTTTTACATACTTTATCACCCAAGTTTGGGAATGATCACACTTAGCATACATGTACTTACAGTGTGTTAACATCTTATTATAATGCTCGACATTTATTTGGGTTATGCACATTTTGAATAACGTGACCTACGTATTGACCAGGTGTGATATTGTGTGATTTAAATAAGTACATATTATAGAGAAGTGCACTCACCTGACAAATTCCAGATATTGTTATGTAGCTAACTAAGATGCCGATTGGACATTGGTTCCGGTCATTGCTTTACAGTTGAATGGTTTGTAATAGAGTAGTGTTGTAGAAGTCTTACACAACCAGTTATGCGTTTGTTCCGTTCTTTTGGTTGTTATCACTAGCTTTTCCGTTATAACATTTTGGCGACGAGGATTGAGAACCATGGCATCAGGACGGTTTGCTGGCATACTTCAACCTCTCCTTTTCTCCAAAACCCTGGTGAACCTCCGGTTATATGGAAGCAGTGGATAAGTTTGTTTCAAACCTACTTAACTGCAATTGGTGGTGACGAAGATTTTAGTCCATCATGAAAGAAGGCACTATTTTTACACTGTCTGGGTGTTGAAGGTCAGAGAATATTTTCTACGTTACCGGGTTCTACTGACTCTCCTCCAGAAGGGACAGACCCATTTACTCACAGCCTGCAGATCTTGAAGAACCGTTCTGAGCCAACGCTTAACGTCGTTGCAGAACGTTATCGATTTCGACAACGTGCACAACAAGTCGGTGAGACTATAGAAAGTTATATAGCTTCATTGCGTGAATTGGCTAAAACCTGTGACTTTGGATCTTTCACGGACCAAATGATTAGGGATCAAATTGTTGAAAAAACAAGCAGCGCTAAAGTTCGAGAACGACTACTGATGGAGAAGGGTTTGAGTCTTCAAAAAGCAAAAGAGATCGCACTACGAGTTGAAAGCGCTGTCCGGGAAGCAAGAACACTTTCTCAAGCGAACAATCCCTTGGTAAATAAAATCACCAAGAATGTCAAACGTGACCAATCACGAACGGCTACGCCTAGACGTAAAGAAACCGACCAGTTTCAACAACGAAAACGCCGCACTTGTTTCCGATGTAACTCGTTTAACTATCTCGCTAATGATTTGTCGTGTCCAGCCAAAGACAAAACTTGTAACAAATGTGGTAAAATGGGACATTTTGCCGTTGTCTGTCGATCGTCTACTGTAGTTAGAAGCGGGACTCAAGACCGAAGGACTGGTAGACAAGTTCACCAAATTGCAGATGACTGTGACGAAGAGGATTTCGTGCAAGTGCTGAAGATCGACGATCCTGTGCAGAGTTCTGATCCTGTACGATGCAAGGCCATGGTAAATGGTGTACCTATTTCATTCATGGTAGATTCAGGGTCTGGTGTTTCTATTTTAACACGGAAAACATTTGACAAATATTTTCTGATTGACGCATTACAATCTCCAGTTGAACATTAAACGCTTTCTCCATTTACGAAGCATACAATAAAGATTTTGGGATGTTTTGAATGCATTGTCAAGTATGGCAACTATACATCTACAATGAATATGTATGTTGTCGAACAAGGTACAGATATAATGGGAAGAGATTTGATGAAGGCATTACATATTAATATTGACGGTGGTACTTTATCATGTAATGAAGTAAATGAACCTGTAGTTGATACGAAACAGTCAATCGAAACTGAAATTACTGCCGAATGTAGTGAGTTGTTTGATCAGTCAGAAGCGCTTCCTAGTGTCAAAGGTTTCGTTCACAAGGTTAAAGTTGATAGGAATGTGCAACCAGTAAGTCAAAAGTTACGCCGATTACCCTTTGAAGTAAGGGAGAAGGTTTCTGCGAAGTTAAAGGAACTTGAAAAGCAAGGTGTTGTAGAAAGAATTGATTCATCAGAGTGGGTTTCGCCCATAGTAGTTGCATATAAAAAATCTGGAGATGTATCCTTTACCAAAAATCGATGACATACTCTGTGAATTGAGAAATTCTTTTCACAGCTAGATTTAACTGCTGCCTACCACCAACTAATGCTGCATGAAGAATCTAGACCACTTACTGCATTTTTGACACATGAAGGTTTATTCCAGTACAAACGAGCGTGCTTTGGTTTGTCGTCGGCTCCATCAGCATTTCAGAAAATGATAAGCATTGTACGGAATGGATTGAAAGGAGTTCAGTGTTATTTGGATGATGTTCTTGTGTATGGTAAAACTCGGGCAGAACGTGATGAAAATTTGAAGAATGTTTGCAGAAGACTACAAAAGTATGGCATTAGACTCGACGTGGAAAAGTGTGCATTTTCTAAATCTAGCCTGAAATTTTTGGGCCATACCGTTAGCGCAAAAGGTGTGCAACCAGACAACAAATTCCAAGCAATTGTCAATGCTCAAGTTCCATTTGACAAGAAATCACTAAGATCTTTCTTGGGACTTGCAGGATATTTTGCAAAATACATCCCTCAATTTGCAACTATTGTTGAACCATTAAGATCTCTGATTAAAAGCGAGATTAAATTTGCTTGGTCTGCTGTTGCTCCAGAGAGTTTTGACAAAGTGAAGTCAGAATTGAGTAAAGGTCCTTGTTTAGCCATGTATGACCCAGAATTAGAAACAATTGTAACAACTGATGCATCTATGTACGGTTTAGGTGCTGTTCTCTCATAAATGAAGAATGGAAGTGAAATTATTGTAGAATGTGCAAGCCGAAGTCTATCTGATGCAGAAAAGAAATATTCTGTAAGTAAAAAGGAAGCCTCGCATGTGTGTGGGCATGTGAAAAGTGGAATACGTACTGGTGGGGTCGCAAGTTTGTCCTTCGAACTGATCACCAAGCTTTAGTAACCATACTTAGTAAAAATACAGATCGACGTGGCATGCGTATTGCTCGCTGGTCGTGTCGGCTTATGAAGTTTGATTTCGAAGTACATTATAAACGAGGTAGTGAAAACAAAGTTGCCGATGGGTTGTCAAGATTACCAGTTAAAGCTAAAGAATGTGAGTATGACACTGAAGATGAAAC